ACATCTAAATATCTTTACCTTGCATTTTTAACTTGTTAATCAATTAATTTAGGCTCACCAATCAATTGGTTTATGATGTCAATCAATTGGCAAGTCATAAATGGCCTTAAAACCTTTTTTTTGTGTCAACCCGTAACCTATAAATAGATATCCTTATCCACTCTTTTTCATATCCAAAAATTTGGTTTTATTTCTCACTTCTCACTTTTTCTCTAAAAAATATTTTTGTTTTCTTTTTCTCATTAAAACTTTAGCCGAAGGGATTTTCGAGAAAGTCTTTTTGTGAATGAAGAAATTATAATTTTGGAAGGGTAATTTTGTAAGTTCACCAAGGAAATTTTGATTTTACCTTGGTTGAATATTTTATCCATTTAGGGATTGTTTGTTTGTGTTCGAAGCTAAACCCGTAAAAAAGCTTTGGTTTAAGGATTGTGTGATCAAGTCTTCGTTTAGATTCGAGATCAGCCTGTTGATAAAATCTCATAGGTTTTTGGTTAGCCCGTGATAAAACCAAGATTAGATTTAAGTTTAGCCTGTTATTAAAAGCTTGTTAAGGTTAGAGATAAACCCGTGATAAAATCTCAGAAGTTCTTGGTTAGCCCGTGGTAAAACCAAGATTAAGTTCATGAGCAAAACCAGATATTAAAAGCTCTATAAGGTTCAATATTGGCCCGAGATAAAATATTTTTTAGAAGCTCGATGACTAGCAACTCCAATATTCTTGTAGAAAGAGAACCACTTCGATCCATCATTTTGAAGGAAGACTCGTTGCTCCTCAATTTGTTGTTTTGTTGAAAGTTAGCTATAAACTTCATTTTCCTAGTATAAGTGGATTTGCGAGTTATACCCACTAAAAAATCTCAAGTTTAATTAGATACTATCAAGATCAATTCTTGGGGACATGACTAAGTCTTTTTTACTGAACTTGTATAATTCCCGGTGTTCTTTTTATCCCTTAAAATCTTTATTTCTGCAATTTGTATTCTGTAATTTTATTTTCTGTTGCATACATATAAATCTTTTCTAAAAATTTTCTCAAACTCTAATCTTGACAAAAAAAGTTTTTCAATTACAAATTTGTTCTAAAACACATAATTCACCCTCTATTGTGTGTGAAGTCACATGTTCTACAATAACGACTTCAAACTTTATGGTACGAGGCCCCAAAATCTCACTAGAAAGAGGTTAGGGGTCTAAAACTTTTTTCTCCTTAATGGGATTGATCTAATGTTGGTGATACTGGAGATTAAGGATGTTATCCTTCAAAGTCTGATTATAGCGACACAAATCGTCCAAAGCAACATGCATCTCTTCTATGGCATCATGGTCATTGTTGGAGCTGGTGCTGGCCAAAGTTACTGCTCGCATGTTAACCATATTTGAAGGGATTGAAGAGGCGAACAACAAGTTGATCGTGGTATACAAAGGTGATCCAGGTCAGTTTTACTAAGGCCCCACATTGGACGCCAATTGTACTACTAAAAAATACAATAAGGGTAACTTTGTATTCAAAGAGATGTCTGTGGAGTTTAAAGTTGTTGATGGTGTTTTGAGCTAAGTCATGCAAAGTAATAAAAAGATTTGTATGTATATTTTTTTAGGTGAGTGATTTGATCATCTTCTTAGTCTTTAGACTGAGATATTTATAAAGGTTCTTTGGGTGTAGGCTAATGAGTGATTATCTGAACTCCTTTATTAGAAACGTGGAGAACAAGAGACTTATCTTTCTATAAATTACACACAAAAAAATAATTATCCTTCTTGACCATTTTCTCTAATCTATAGTGATGAAATACATCATCTCTCAAGTCCTTTGGAAAAGTGGACAATGGAAAATAATTCAGAAAAATTAAGCCCAATCGAAGGACTATTACTAAGATTGAGACGATTTCATGACCCATTTCAAACGGCATATAACTTCGCATGTCCATTTCACTCCTTGCAAGTGACTTTGCCTTCTTTACATAAAATATATATCCCTTCTTAAGACGCAATAAAACTATACATTATATTTGAATTCACGTTAAAAAATTAAATAATTTTGAAAAATAACAAATTAATATAATTTTTTTAAAATAAAATAATTATTTAAAACTTTTGAGTTGATATGATTTTTAAATGTGATATTCATCAAATTAATCGACATTCAAACACATATTTAATAAATAGTCGCAGCTATTAAATATTTTTATGTTATTTTAAGACCGTTTATATGAAAAATTATAGAACTTTATGGTATTTTATATATATTTTAAAAAAATAAATTATACTAAATTAAAATTAATAGATAAAATATTATTTTTTATAAATACTTATAATTAAATAGTTAAATTGATCAAATTTAATATTTACATAAATAAATAAATTATTATACGGATGTTAAAGTAAGTGGATTGTCATGGATTTTTTATTTTTTATTTTTCATTTTGAATTTATTTTATTTTTTTGTATTTTAAGATTTCTTCATGAAAAAGTAAGGGTGATGACCACATGTTAATTGTTATTTATTCTTAAGATGAAGTCGTCTTTGGTTTTAACTAGTTTGCTTTATCATTAATTATTATAATCATTTTATGAGATAAGCATGGATGATCTTTCTTCCTTTCTATGTTATTCTTTTTCCATTTATTTTGAGATAAGCATGAATTTGGAACTTCTATTAGTCAAGTTGGGAAAAAAATAGTATAAAAGAAATCAAATGTTTCTCTTACTGTATCCAAGATAATATGTATGGAGATTTTGTCTTCACTTTTTTATTTAAATATAATTTTGTAATGCTTGTAAGCATATATATTTCTTATTTAGTCCTTTTATTTTCTGTTGCATACAAAAATTCTTTTCTAACTCTTGTCCATCTTACCACACCTTACTAAAATAGAGGTATTTTATATTCAAAAAATATTTTTGTCAATTAATGATATCATATAATTCTATTTCAATTAGATGGTTGTTGTTTTATGCCTTTGATCATTAGATTTGAATGAGTTGATGATGTCACATGGTTCAAATTAAATTACTTTTTTTTCTTTTCTCTTATTTCGAGAATTTAAATTATGCTGCAGCTTCTTTTTCTCTCTCGTCCTTTTTCTATTTCCCCCTTTCTCTCTATGTTTTTCTCTTTCTCTATCTGGCTTGCTTTCGTCTCCCTCTTCTTCTTGCTCTTCTTCTTCCTTCTCTTTCTCTTTCTTTATCTCTTTTGTTATTTTGGTATCACACCGAAAGAATAATGGTGTGCGAATCAGTTTACGGTGTGCGAATCAGTTGGATTGAGATTTAAGGGTTTTAAACTGTGTGAATCAATTTACATGCTTTCAACCACAGTCATATAAGAAGAGTCTCATTCTTGCTTCATCACCTCTCTAACGTTGACGAAGAAGGATATTGTTTAGGTATGGTTTTTTGTCCTTTTAACTTATATAGATGAAATTGATAAATCTTAATCCCTAATATTTTCATTGATTTCAATGTCTCTGCTTCTTTTTATTTATGTTTGCTATGATAAACCCTAATCTCTAATTTTTTGATTTATCATGCTATATGTCCCGCGGGGTGGAGCAAGTCGTTTAAAGTTGATATAGTTGGAGCAAACGTATAAGACAACATGTGTGGGGAAGATGAGTTATTATTATTACTCGATTTATCATATTTCCAAACAGATTTGAGCCAATTTTCTGAAGTTTATCAATTTTTTATTTAATACCATGGTGATATAGTGTTGTAATTATTTTTCTACAAAGGCAAATAACTTATGAAAATAACTTATTCTTTGTTAAGTTAGAATTTGTTTATGGTCAGGTTAGCTAAAAGCAGGATGCATTGAGAACATGTTTTCTTTCAAGCTTGGTTGACATTTTTTTGTACCCGCAATGAATCAAGTTATGCAAGGTAGATTTTGAATTTGATATATAATGTAGAACTAATATATATGTCAGTGTTTCCCTTATAGATTAAGGGAATATCTTTATGGTTTTTTAGACTGTAATTTATTTGAGTTACATGTAATAAAATGGTGGATGATTCATCGATAAATTTAGACAACTCGAGGGGTTATTGGACTTCATCTTAAGATTGATATTTTCTTGACCTTTTGTTGTCCCATGTTCATAGAGGCAACAAAACGGATAAAGTGTTTACCGTATTAGCTTGGGTAGACATGACTTAACAATTTAATAACAAATTTGGGTTTAAGTATTATATAGATGTGTTTACCTATTTCTTTGTCTGGTTTTCTGACTATGTTTCAATAGCAGTAAGTGAAAAATAAAAATAAGAAGTAGAAGCATAAGGAATATTTAGTTGTTTTCAGACTTCGACTTAAATGTTAGTTGTTTTATCAGATTTGAAGGGTATGTTTAGGAATTCGTAATAAGAAAGTGATGTTTGATTTTTTCAGGAATACAAAGCTGCGAAAAGTTTAAAACAAATGATTTCATTAATTTGGAAATAGATAATATATTTTTTTGTTGCTAGAAGCATTATGCTATTAAATAAGAGGAGTTACATTTTGAGTTTCTAAGTTATAATGGTTTGTCACAATGCATGTTTGACAGACTTAATCAAAAAGAGAAACAGGACTTGAAGGTGGTTTATTTGGGAAGACTTTGGTAATTCTATGCTAAATGTTCACAGTAGTTGTTCATCCTCAGACGAAGATGATTATGAAGAATATCATTACGATATGTACTGGTAGAAAGATATAACTACTGCGTGCGTAGCCCAAAAGAATGTGATGGTAAGCTACTAATTCGATTATATGGTTCTAAAGATAATAGTTCTTAACATGGACTGCCTGAGAGAATTCTTGAAGATATTGAAACTACGGTTCGATCTTATGTTGAGAAGGTAATGAAGTTTTTCTATTTTATATTGGTTTATCCTCATTCTTCTGTTTGAATAATTTGATTTGATGATGCACCATAATACCAAATGAAGTTACTTACTATGTTTCTATTAGCGTGGCTACCATTTTATTACTTTTTTAATGTTCTTACTGAGACATATTAACAAGAAATGCCATCAATATGCATATTTGCTTTAACAAATAACTTGTGCTTTTGGAAGCCTAATAGTATCATACTGGCTATATATCTCCAGCTAACCAAGACATAACAACTTTCGATGCTATCAAACTTTTCAGGGAAATGGATTCCACCGGTAGTTTGATGTTTTATTCTGTTTATCAGGGAGAAGAATATCTTTATAAGATGAAATTGAAGAAAGCTACTTGAATCCATATCTCTTGCGAAGTGTTTTTCAAAATTTGTACCATTAGTACCGATTGTGCAGGTATTATAGATTACAAATAAGATATCTTCATTCTTAATAATTAAATCAAGTGAAATTGAATATACCATAATTTAGTAATTATCAGAAACTAACAACACCAATTTTATTTCTCAAATGAAGAAATTGATCTGTTTTTATTGGCTTCACCAGAACATCAGCCAGCTGCTTCTGAGTGCTACAGTGCAGAACTTCTAACACTCCTTTCTGCACTTGACTTCTTAGAAAATGATATTTCGTCTCAATATGCTTTCTTCTTCCATGCAACACTGGATTCTTGGAAAGATTGATTGCAGACTTGTTATCAATCAACAACTTCAGAGGTTTCTCTATCTCAATCTTCAAATTCTCCAGAAGATTCAAAAGTCAAACAGCTTGACATGCAGCTACATCACCTGCAATGTATTCAGCTTCACACGTTGACAGGGTCACAACAGGTTGTTTCTTGGAACTCCAAGAAATTGGACCTACCAGAAACTTGAGCAAGTAACCAGAAGTACTCTTTCTGTCAACTCTGTCTCCACACCAGTCAGAATCAGAATAACTCACTAATTTAGGTTCTGTCTTTCTTTCAGAAGGAAATAACACTCCATATTTCAGAGTTCCCTTGATATACCTCAGAATCCTGACAACAACTTGGTAATGAGATCACTTTGATTTACTCATGAATCTGCTAACCATTCCAACTGCATAAAAAAATGTCAGGTATGGTATTGCACAAGTACCTAAGAGAACCAACCAACTGCTTGAAGGTTGTAGCATCCACAGAATCACCATCAAAATCAGAATCTAATTTATGATTGGTTTCTGATGGTGTCACAACAACTTTGCAATTCTGCAGCTTAAATCTCTTCAGAAATTCAAGTTCATACTTCAGCTGATGTAGAATGATACCCTTCTTTGAGTACAAAATCTCCATTCCTAGAAAATATACCATATTTCCCAGATCTGTCATCTCAAATTCATTCATCATAACTTCTTTGAACTTGATTATATCTTCTGGACAACTTCCTGTTAGCAATATGTCATCAACATATAGACACACCAGAATCATATTGCCACCAGAATGATGCACATACACGCCATATTCCATCTCACATTTCTAAAACTTTTGCCTTTTGAAAAATGAATGAATTTTCATATACCAAGCTCTGGGCGCTTGTTTCAGTCCATACAAGGCTTTATGTAACTTGTATACCATACCTTCCTGATTCTTTTTTACAAATTCAGGAGGTTGTGACACATATACCTCTTCTTGTAACAGACCATTAAGAAATGCAGACTTCACATCCAGATGTATCAAAGGCCAATTTCTGTTTGCAGCTAAAGCAATCACCAGTCTGATTGTTTCGTGTCTAGCTACAGGCTCAAACACCTCATAGTAATCTAGCTCAGGTTTTTGAAGAAAACCTCTAGCCACTAGTCTCGCTTTGTGTTTGCCAGTTGATCCATCTGGCTTAAGCTTCACTTTGAAAACCCATATGATGCTGATGGCTTTCTTCTTTTTTGGAAGCTTCGTCAACTTCTAAGTTTTGTTTCTTTCAATAGCCTCAAGTTCTTCCTTCATGGAATTCAACCATACTTTCTTCTTGAGAGCTTCTTCAATACCCATTGGTTCAGAATCTACTAACACGGCACACTAAATGACTTCTCCTTTAGAATCTACATCAGTATCATGCAACATGCTAAAATCTGCAAACCTACTTGGTATTTATCTGATTCTCTGTGGCCTCTGAACTTGTTCTGAAGCTTCTCCAGAACTCGGAACAATGCTAGCTTCTGGACTTTGTCCAGAACTACTTCCTTCATAATTACCACCTTCAGAGTTACTTCTGGAAGCTTGTCCTCCAGACCCTATGTCTTCAGAGTTTTCCCTTCCAGAAATATAATCACCACCAGATTCTGGATCATCATCAGAATCTGGATCAGAATCAGATCCACTATCAGAATCTCCCTGATATTTTGACTCATCTTCAGAGTCTTCAGATTCATCTTCTGACTCTGACTCGTCTTCAGAACTTTCTGAAGAATCTTCAGAAACTAACTCTGGTGTTGGCGCTACACCAAAATCTGATTGAAGCTTGTTCCAATCCCATGTTTCTGACTCTTTCACAATAACGTCTTTGCTGATTTCAACTTTGTTAGTTTCTGGATAATAAAGCTTATAGGAACCTGTACTGTGGTACCCCACCAATAACATTACCTTGCTTTTATCATTCAGTTTCCGTCTTCTAGCTTCTGGAATGTGTTTGTAGCATACTGAACCAAACACCCTCAGATGGATAACACTTTGCTTGTCTCCAGTCCACTTTTCTAAAGGAAAATTTCCTTCAGCTTCTTCGTTGGACACCTATTCAGAACATATGCTAATGTGGCAACAGCTTCTCCCCATAACATGTGAGGTAGCTTCTTCTCTTTCAGCATACTTCTGGTCATATCAAGCAAAGTTCTATTTCTTCTTTCAGCAAGACCATTGTGCCGAGGAGTATATGGAGCAGTAACCTCGGGTTCTATTTCATTCTCCTCAAAAAACTTCTGGAACTCTGTAGAGTTATACTCACCTCCACCATCCGTTCTCAGAATCTTCAGCTTCTGACCACCCTGCTTCTCAGCCTTTACCTTGAACTTCTGGAACTCAGTAAACACTTCATGCTTGAACTTGATGAGTGTTACCCATGTCATTCTTGTGAAATCATCCATAAAAGACACAAAATATTTTTTTCCTCCAAGTGAAGATACTGGAAATGGTCCACACACATCAGAATGTACTACTCCCGAAGAATGCTTCGCTCTGAGGGCTACTTCTGATGCAAATGGCAATCTGGGTTGCTTGCCTTTCATGCATATCTCACATGACTTCTGAGGCTTCACAATATTCGAAATGTCATGTACAAGCTTCTTAGAACTTAGATGCCCTAAGCTTCTATAGTTCAAGTGCCCCAACCTCTTGTGCCACAGCTTACTGTCACCTTCAGCACCTTCTGCACTAAGACACTCTGCTTCAGCTGTTTCTACATTCACCTTGAATGTTATGTTGCTTCCCTGCTTAGACTTCATAATTAACTTCAGATTAGAATCAAACAACGTCAAGAGGTTGTCCTTCATAACAACTGAGAATCCTTTCTCAATGAGCTGACCCACACTCATCAGATTGCTTTTGATTCCAGAAACATACCAAACATCTTTGATCAGAATGTTTTTTCCATTATTCACTCTAACTCTGACATTTCTCATACCTTATGCATTAAGATACTTATCATTAACACATACGATCTTTGTTCTCCTTCTGGAGTCAAAGTCTATCAGCCATTGTTTGTTCCCAGTCAAGTGGTTTGAACAACCAGTGTCCATATACCACCAATCTTCTGAATACTTTCCATCAGAATTAGAAGCCATCAGTAGCACAGGTTCATCATCAGAATCTCCTCTGGCTATATTTGCTTCTTCTGATTTCCTTCCTCTATTTCTACAATCTCTAACAAAATGGCCAAACTGTTTACAGCGGTAATATTGAACCTTCTTCTTATCATACATTTCCTTTCCCTTCTTATATTTCTTTTCATCAGAAGTTGAGGTTTCTGACTTCTGGAATTTATCACCACATCTATTCTGCTTCTGGTCCTTCTTGACAAAAGAAGCCTTCAGAGCTTGCTTCACTTCCCTCTCATAAGTTCTTTCAGTCAGACGCAACTCTTGCGCTTCTAGACTGCTTTGCAACTCTTCTATTCTCATGGTTTCCATATTTTTAGAATGTTAAATAGAAACAACAATGTAATCAAACCGAGGAGTAAGTGACATCAGAATCTTCTCTATGATTACCTGTTCAGAAAATGTTTCTCCACAAGCTTTCATCTCATTAGTGATCATAATTATTAATCTGGAGATGTACTCAGAAACTTTCTCACTGTTCTTCATGTTGAGATTCTCATATTGCTTTCGCAGGGACTGAAGCTTCACCTTCTTTACTGACGCGTCACCACCATAACATCTGACCAGTATATCCCATGTCTCTTTCGACGTCGTCGAATCAGCAATCTTCTCAAACACACTTTCATCCACACACTGATGGATATAGAACAGAGCTTTCTGATCCCTCTTCCTCGTAGCTCTTTCTATAGATATTTGTTCTTCAGTAGCATTTGCTGCAACTGGAACATAACAAATGGTAACAAGATCCAGAACATCCTGAGCACCAAACAGCACACGCATCCGTATCATCCATCTGTTCCAGTTTTTGCCATCAAAAACTAGATGTTTAGTGTTCAAACTACTGCCTCCACTCATCTTAAATTTTTCACAAATCTCAGATCTCAGATTCTCACTCAGTGTTTCTCAAACCCACAAAATCAGTGTGATTCTGTTCAGATTTTTGTTCAAGATTCAACAGAAATCAAGAACCAAAAAATCAAACACAACTCACTATCACTCGTGTTTCCCAAAATTTCAGAATAAACTAAGAGCTCTAGATACCAATTTGTTGGTGCAAGGTGATGAAATTGAGGAGGAAGAAAAAATGATAAATGTTATAAAACTGTCAATAATGATTGAAAGAAGATTGATTGTATTAAATGAAACCTAATACACTTATTTATACATAAAAATAGTTAAGATAAGAATGTCACATAAATCCTAAAGAGAATATCCAAAAATAACAAGATTACATAAGCTAATGTATTTTACGACGAAAAAGATGGAGATTATTCTTTCTCGACATGTCACAAAAACAAACTCAATATAATTGTTGATTATTGTATTCACAAGGGATATACGAACCGCCTATATTTTCAAATCTGTCAAAAATGCATTACCAGAAACTTTCGATAAACTTAGTGGGGGCAGATTGAGCAATTATCTACTATTTTTGTTATTGATTTACATTAATTGATTTCTGACTGCTTTTTATCAATTGCTTTTAAATTCTATTGATTTCTAGCATATATTTATATTTATGGTATGTGTTATATCATACTCATACTTTTAATTTAAAGAGTGTTTCTTATGTAATTGCATCATTGATTAGACAATTTAGAAGGAGATGAAAAGATACTCATACTGATTGTTGAGATTGTTG